GTATATATATATATATATATATATATATATATATATATATATATATATATATATATATATATATATATATATTACTCTGTTCCAAATAGATATATAATAAGATATGTGATAGACTGATATATATATATATATTACTCTGTTCCAAATAGATATATAATAAAAAAACCAAAGCATTAACTATTTTGACCACTGGGCAGCAGAAACTTTCTCTGAAACTATAATTCATGGTATTAAGGGTTGGCTACTGAGGAAACAGTACACCATTGAAAATCTGCATGCATTGCTAAACTTTTTAACCAAACACAAATAAAAATTAATGAACTAATTTCAGGAAATAATATGAAGGCAAAATTTCTTAAATAATTTTTTTTTACTGCTTAGCAGAGTTATATAACTACCATAACAAGTCATTAGAAAACATTTAAAAACAAAGAGAGAGAAAGTTGCCTAAACTTATTAGTAATAAACAGCTAATTGGCATTCCCCTTAGAGTATAACCAAACAGTAGTGAATTGGCCATGTGTCAAATTGTTAAAATAAATTCCCTCTTAGGACCAGTCACAATCTGGGGTCAGTGACACTGCATCCTAACTAGGTACATGTTATTCAAAACAGGCTTGTTCACTGACCAGTTACCCATACTGAATGCAGACACAGCAATATTTGATAAATTGGTTACTGTCCATTCAGTAGGTTATTTCCTACTTATTCATAAATAATGAAGATGCTCTAAGTGGATGGGAGAGAGCTGTCCCATCCGTGTAGTTAATCCACCTCCCTGAGAGGTTGTAGCTATGTCAGTGGGAGAAGCTATGTTGGTGGGTGTGCAAGCTGGGGTGCCTTCATGTATATATAAAGTTTAATCAAACCCCATTTTTAAAACCACTGTGGTCTGGGAATGGAAAAGAAGCTTGCTGAGGCAGGGCCTGTCCTTCAAGATCCTTAAGATCACTGACTTGCTAGTGTAAGTAGCATGAGGATATAGCTCAGTGGTAGAGTGTTTGACTATAGCTCAAGTGGTCATTGGTTCAAATCCAAGTGCCCTTTTACAAACCTGCTCCTTCAATAAAAATATATGCATATCCATTTCCATTATGTTCAGGAGTTCCACTTAATAGGGGTGTCTGAAATCAGTCTGCCTAGATAATCAGTAGGGGACTCTCCTTTGTTCTGTTTACAGTTGGTAATCTTTGTCCAATCCATTTTCTTAGGGCAAACCTCCATAATGGAGTTTAAGAGACTGTCCCTAGCCTCACTCAACTCACTCTCAATTCCAGGGTCAGCACCGGGCCAATCAGCCTGTTTGGAAAGCCATTGTCGAACTTTGGCTGGCATAACTACCCGCAAGAGTTGGTTAATATCCACCCAAGATGGATTATAACACTGGATCACTGTCCGGAGCTCTTCTCTAAATTTTTCTGGCTCCTCCCTGACATTAGGAAATTCCTTTACCAAGTTTCTAAGATCCCCTGGTGTCCAAAGGGCATGCACTATAACTAATTCCCCTGCAGCCCCAGGCAATTCTCTTAAAGGAGCCTGGAGTGTTGGTACCTGGCTTCTAGTAAAATAATGGACAATTTCATCAGGGTTGGGCGAGCTACTGGAAGGATCAGAATCACCCCTTTGTGGTGAAGAGGAGGATTCTCTCCCAGGAGAAGAAAGAACAATCTGTGCAGTTGATACACGCTGTGGTGAACCTGACACTACCAGGTGAAGCTCGTTAGCAGGCACAGCCTGCGGAGGGGGAGGAGGGGGAGGCAAAGGCTGTGGCCGTGGGATATTGCTGAAAAAATCCACAATGTCCTCAGCAGCTTCCTCCCCACTCTCAGTCTCAACTAATTGGGGATAAAGAGGAGCAGAAGGAATTGCTCGAGCAGGAAAACATCCGGATGCCTTACATTTAAGTTTTAAATCCTGTACTTGAGTTTTTAATTTTTCTTGGGAGTCCTTTAGACTCCGCACCCGAGACTCATGGAGTCTCTTTCTTGCTTCCTCCCACCAATAGACAAATTGCTCCCACTGTGTATCAGAGGCTTTTGGTGATGTAAGGGTCCCTCTGAGGTATGTAAGTTTATCTAAATCAAAGGTACCTTCTAGTGGGCAGTGTTTAGATGGATTTTCACGCATGTAAAGATTCCAATTTTCTAAATATCTGCAGGTTTTAGGACCATAATGTACATACATGTAATATGCTGGGGTACCCTTAGGGGGTGAGAGGGAATGCTTAGACTGTCCCCCACCCATTGTCCAATCACACACATACAAGGAGGGATGGTGCCACTTACTGTCATTGCTTCCAGTGAGATGATCAGACTGTCAGTGGCTCACACGGAGAGGAAAGGGGGAGGGAAGATGGGTTCACGCCCTCCTAGACCCAGGCAGGTCCCTCGCCGGACGATGCCAGGCAGAGACAGCCCACCTTGGGTTGGATCTTTTACCGATCCACTAGGTGGAGTCACTGGGCTTGTGTTAGAGTATTTCTGGTCACAAGCCCACGGCTTCGCAGAATACCCTGAGCGTCTTCCGGCGACTCTCATACACAGTGGTGTACACACATACACCAAGGCCTCTGTTTCTAAATACCATGATGCATCTGTACCTTATGTCCGGACTCAATACACTTTCCCTTATGAGGCAGTAACAACCCCTCAGCACCGGTGTATTAACCTAATGCATTTCCCTTATGCATTAACCTTGTTGGGGGTGGCAAAACTAAGTCCCCAACACCACATCAAACTAACCTTATTAGGGACGGCAAAAACAGTTCCCCAGCACCGCTCTGCATCTGATCTTGCTGCACAGTCAATAAGTTCAGATGGCGTAATCCAAACAGGGACAGACGGCCCCATGGATAGTCCTCCTCCGACACCCCAATAGAGATTTCAAAAGGTCTCTTACCTCTATTGTGGCACCATGGGGTTCGAAGGGGAATGATTCGCAGCAGCTGCCAATGTCTCCGAAGGCATTGCCATCCCACATGAGCCCCCAAATTGTCGGAGAAAAACAGAGTTCTCACTCTCTGGTTGGGTGCAGAAAATCAGATACTTTATTAGTTCTAGCAATTGCGTGGAGGGAGAGAGCTAAACAGGTCTCTCTACAGGTAAACAATTACAGCAAGCATTTATACCTTTTGTTACATACAATGATGAGCAACAGCTGCATTTTGTTTATACATAGGTAAACCTGATGCCTTATTTTTCTCACCTCTATTTAGACTATAGTCTACATTCCATACTTACCTAACACAAGGCCGCAACAACTTCTCACACGGTTCTTTCCCACTTGCCTCACACAATACTAGCTTCTACAAATCTCACATTATTAGGGTTACAGTTAGCCTGACTCTTGCTCATGGAGAGAACTGTTTGCATTGAAATCCCCTTCAAATCCCTGTCAGTTCTTGCTCTACTTCCACACCACGTAGCTCAGCGGTGTGGATTTTTCACACCGCTGAGCAATATAGTTATACCAATCAATGTCTTTAGTGTAGACCAGACAGGTTTCTCTTGTGTTTTATGCATTTACATCACTTCTCCTCTACTTCCTCCTACTTTCAAAGATTGAAAAGTGTGAAAAGAGAGGCATTTTTCCTCATGATGCAAACATTCCCACATTACAGACCCCTTCCACGAAGACACATGGCAGAAGAACCAGAGATATATAAACTCACAGAAATGGTTGGGACCTATGTTGGGAGAAACCACAACTTGAGCTAAGGTTCAGTTGTTGGTAATGGGGATAAAAATAACTAACATATGTGACAAGAATTTGTGATCTTTGAATATGTTAGTTTACCAATGAAAATGAAATTATAGGTGAAGTTATTTGTTTTAAAGTTACTGGTTAAAGAGTTAGAGACTATTTGTGTGATAATCTGAATTATTTTGGAAAACTGAAAGTTGACTTGTTTATTGTTTTGTTAGTCATACAGGAAATGATGGCTAACCTTGAAAAGTTAATTTGATTTAATTTATCGCCTGTAGTGTAAGGAGTTCTGGTAGAAAACCTCTCTCCAAAGGTTGGGATGGGGGAATGTGTGTGAAAAGAGTGTGTAAGAGAATATTGACTCAGGATAGATTTTAATTTTTTGTGTTTCAAATAGAAGTTTGTTTGCTTAGCTTCAAAGTCAATTTCTATTAAAAGGAAAGCTGCTCAAGGAGACAAGTTGTATAACTTTTTACCCACTTACACTGTAAGGGTCACTGACTTCCCCACTTCTTTAATTTGCACAGGAGAGGCATGACATCTGTCACAGGATGTGTCCAGCAAGTAGGAAATCTGCCATTGTCAACCATCAATATCAAGGAAAAGGCTGAAGTCCGTTGCCTTTCATGACAAAAAGCCATCTAAAGACTGGCCTATGCTGAAAAGCTATGTTGATATAGCTACATCTCTCAGGGCTGTGAAAAATCCACTCCACTGAGAGAAGTAGTTAATGTGTCTTGAGCCCCAGTGTAGACAGTATTTGGTTGTCAGAAGAATACTTCCAGTATTTGAAGAGTAGACATTGCCTTAGACAGATTGATCCCCTATGGGAAGCAAGTCATGACATCAATTCCGATCTTGACCCATCTCCCTGTATGTGAGAAAGCTACTAGTATGGAGGGCTGAGCCAGCTATCAGATCACCTGGTTCCTCAACAGTAACTACAGCTCTTCATACCCATTAATCCAGAGACTGAGAGAAATGGCAAGTTCCAACCGTTGTCATTTTAATATCTTATTGTTCCTTTCTCTATTTTTTGTGCTAGCCTTTCTATTACATCAGGGTGTGACTGTATAGCTCAGTTCATGTGTGACAAAAGCTCATTGGTGCCAGTTGACAAAGGGGTCACTGTTATTCACAAGCAACTCCTGTCTCAGACTGACAAACTCACCCAATACCCAGATTTTATGATATTTATCCAGGAAGCATAGCAGTGAGATCTCTACTGAAAACTTGTAAATTACTGTTACTCCTAATCACTGCAAGAGGCGTTTATGAGTTATACTGAAGGAGTAATATAAGTAAATGGAAAATTATGCCCATACAGTATTATCATGAAAGTGAGTCACCCCAATCACAGGTCTTGGTGGAGATGGCTCCTTTCAGTGAGAGGGAATTGTCACCCATCCTTTGCAAGCTAGTTATGTGATGTATTGCTCCATTGTCAACCATTGCACCAACCCAGAAAAGCCGATGGAAAACTATCAAAGACAAACTATAGACATCTAAACCCTGTGAAAGTGAACAGAACAATATAACAATGAGGTGATTATCTCGGGAGAGGGATAGCTCAGAGGTTTGAGCATTGACCTACTAAACCCAGCGTTATGAATTCAGTCCTTGAGGGAGGCCACTTAGGGATCTGGGGCAAAAATTAATACTTGGTTCTGCTAGTGAAGGCAGGGGGCTGGACTCAATGATCTTTCAGGGTCCCTTCCAGTTCTATGAGATAGGTATATCTACATTTAAAAAAAAAGTCTTTCTATGAATAAACAAAAGACTGATTCCATTTATGACAAGGTGGAGAAAAACATTTTGGGTCCATTTACCAAGGAGATCCCTAACAAGCAGTGGTGCTTCATGAAAGGCAGGGCTGTGGCTCCTAGGGACTAGAAATCACTGCAATAGACTGAAGTATGAGGTGAGAATCAGCTTAGATAGGAAAAGTAACTATTAAAAAGTGTAGGTTGCATTTCATGATTTTATTTTATTGGTAACGGTTAGTTTCCATCAGTCACATTTATTTCTGTTTAATTCTCTCTCCCTTGTTAAATAATTTTCCATTTGTTCAATATCTGTACTCCAGTGCTGTGTGTGATACAGTAACAATGGTCAACAGTAAGACTGGTAACCTGGGATATACCATTGCTTTGGGAAGAGAGGATCTGGGATTACTCAAGTATCTGGGGATCAGGGCTGTACCCCAGAGGGGGACACATTGAAGGAACTCAGGGGTTAGGGTGCCTCTGTTGGCAACTGGCAGGGCTGTTGTGGCTCAGAGGAAGGTGCTTGAGTGCCTGACAGGCTGGTGAGTTTGGTCGCTAACATCCAGATGCCAAATG